CTGGGACACGGGGGCTGGGACACGGGGGGATAGGGTTGAAGAGGGATGGGGACAAGGAGGGACAGGGACACGGGAAGATGAGGACATGGGGGGATGGGGATGAGGAGGGGTAGGTACACGAGGGAATGGGACACATGGAGACGGAGTTGGGAAACATGCTCTGGGGGTGCCCCGAGTGTGGCACTGCATCCCGAAGGACACACCCGTGGAATGTGGAGGGTGGCTGGACAGCTGGGGACGCGGGGGGACATCCAGGTACGCTGGTGTGTCCAGGAGGGGACACCGAGGAAGCACAGGCTGGGGAGTGCCCAGGGGATGGAGGGGACCGATATAGGAGCACGTCTGGGAGAGGAAGCTCAGGGGGCCTCAGATGCAGTGGCACATCCTAAAGGGGACACCCAGGGGACATGGGGGGGACTCAGAAATGCCATCACACCTGGAGGAAGGGTTAGAGGGGGTGTCAGCATATCATAGAGGGAATATCCAGGGAAAACGGGGACTGGAATGGGGACACATCTGAGAGGGGACACCCAGGGGACAGTGAGGGCCAGGCTGGGGACGCCACCCAGTGGGAGATGGAAGACCGGTATGGGGACACCTCCCAGAGGGGACATCGAGGGGACAGCAGGACTGGTGCAGGGACACCTTCGGAGGCGACACCCAGGGTGGCCGCTATAGGGACATATCCCAAGGGGATGTGGAGAGCTGCTATGAGGACACCTATGGGGACGCGCAGGGGACGGGGGAACCGAGATGGGGACACATCCTGGAGGGGACATGAAGGGCTGCTATGGGGTCGCCTCCGGAGAGGGGACACGGGGGGGCCGCTGCGAACACAGCGAGGTGGGGGGCGCGGGGCCAGAGCGGCTGCGGGGCCGGGGGAGACCGCGGGGCTGGGGCAGGTGCGGGGCCGGGGGTGGTGCGGGGCCGGGAGCGGGGGGCAGGTGCGGGGCCGGTGCCGGTGCGGGGGGGTCGCGGGCCCGGCCCCTCCCGGGGCTCTGCGGGGCGGCGCTGCGGAAAAATGTGTCGATGCAGCGAAAAAGCCGCAGCGGCGGCGGCGGGGCCGGGAGCGGGAGCGGAGCGGGGCGATGCGGGGCCGGTACCGGGGGCGATGCCGGTGCGGGAGCGGGAGCGGGTCCGGACCTACCTGCCCGCGGGGCGAGCGAGAGCAGCGCGGCCAGCAGCCAGCCCCGCAGCGGGCTCATGGCTCCCTCATGCTCCGCCAGCGGCCGCGCCGGGCCCGCCGCGCCGGGGACCGTCACCGTCCCGTCCGGCCCCCCCGCCCCGGGCCGGGCCGGCAGCGCCGCCCCCGCCCCCGCCCCGCCCGCGGCCCCGGGCCCGCCGGACCGGACCGGCACCGGCACCGGCAGCGCCGGCAGCGGCACCGGCAGCACCGCCCCGGGCCCGCCCCGCCCCACCCGGCCCCGCCGCCCCCGGTACCGGCCCCTTCCCCCCCTCCCCGCCCCGGCTGCCGCAGCGCCGCTGGCACCCGCGGCACTGCAGCACCGGAGCCCCGGCCGGCATCACCCCCCGATCGGCATCACCCCCCGATCGGCATCACCCCCCCGTCCGGGACCGGAGCCCCCTGCCAGTCCGGGGTACCTCCCACTCCGGCTGGAACTGGGCTGGACCAGCCAGTGCCAGACCCCCTCCAGGCAGCATCGGACCGTGTCCTCCCCCAGCCCAGACGGTACAGGAGCACCAGGACTTGATCCCCCCAGTCAATACTGGAGCCTCCGAGGTCTGGACCCCCCAGGCCAAAAGCAGACCCTCTCCAGGCACTACTGCCCCCCACCCCCCCAGACGGTGCAGGACTCCCTCCACACACAGCAGTACCAGCCCCTCCAGCTGGTACCAAACCCTTCCACATCATTACCAGGCTTCCCAGCTGGAATTGAAGCCCCCCAGGCTGTACAGAGCCCCCCTCAGCCGGTACCGAGTCCTTGAGTAGTCCTCAGCCCCGAGTTGGTCCCCAGCCAGCCCTGGAACCCCTCCAGACTGTACTGGAACTGGTACCAGGCTCCCAACCAGTATCAGGGCCCCTGACCATTATCAGAGCCCCCCAACCAGTACCACCCCCCAGCTGGGACTGAGCCCCTCACTGGTCCCGGGTCTGGTGCAGATTTTGGCTGTGGGAGCCCAGCTCTGGAGCCAAGGGGGTCCCAGGGGAGGGTGCTGAGACGAGGGGTGCTGGTGCCCATGGCAGTGGGGGCACAGGGCAGTTCTGGCCCATCCCCAGTGCGTGGGCAATATCACCTCAGGAAGCACCCGAGCCAAGAACCCCCCACGAGTTGCTCTGATTTTAGGGGATGCTGCAAGGCTGTATACCCCCTGGGGATAACAGAACAATTGTTGGAGAGAGAAGCCCCAAATAACTCCTGTTTATTGCAGCTGTGTGTGTGGGGGGGTACAGCACCGTGGAAGGTGAAACCCAGCCCGTGGGGGGAGGCAGCACAGCCCCAGGTATCCACAGGAGGGGCCATCCTGGGGGGAACAGGGGCTCTGAGCCCCAGGTGGTGGATGTTGCTAAAAAGACCAGGCTGGTGGTTTCACCTCACATCCCTCACCCTTCTCCAGGATGACTCACCCCCATTTAGACCTTTTGGACCCATTTTGTGTTACCACTCCAGCAAGTCCCTCCTGTGCCCCCTGGTATCAGGCTCCAGCCCCCTCCCGGTGCAGTCAGCACTCAGGGGGGCTCCTTGCATCCCCCAGGGGCACCCTCACACCCCCCCTCCTCCCAGCCCCTCCCACGGTGAATCCCGGTGTCCCAGCCCCCAGCCCAGGCTCCAGGGAGCTGTGCCAGTCTCTGTCCCCTCTCCCTCTTTTCCAAGCCCCTGCCTCCAGCCCCCCTGTGCCCGCACCCTTCTCACCCCAGGGCTCCCATGTCCACCTTTGGGTGTCCAGGGGCAGCTCTGCAGCCCAAACCCAAACCATGGCAGCAGCTGCTTTGTCTGGCCAGGACGTTCCTGGGGTGTTTTCTGCGGTGAGTTACAAAGGGAGGGTGACAAGGGTCCCTCCTGCCCACACCAGAGCCCACCTGGACACTCTCTATACCAGCCCTGCCCTGCTTTTTGTCACTTTTGGGCAGAAGTGGGGGGGGGGAGGGGGGGGCAGAAGGAGGTAGGGGTGTGAGGGAAGGCAGGATGGGGCAGGGAGTGGGGAGGGGGACAAGTCCTGGCCCCGTCCTGTCCCTCCTGAGCTCTGCAGCTCAGCCCGTTCCCATCAGCACGGGCAGAGCTTTAACAAGCAAACCCCACAGCAGCCCAGGCTGGAGGGGGCAGGTTCAGCTCAGCCTGGTTTGAGCAGAGAGGAGCTCTAAGGGTCATGTTCAGACTGGGGGGGCTCAAAGCCCCCCCAGCATCCCCAGTCTGTGGCTGGCACACCCCCCCAGCCCCAGTGACCCCCAGTGCCTGAGCAGCACCTCGGGGGCAGATGAGACTGGATCAGCCCCACCCCTCCCCCCCTGACAGCACGGGGCAGGCAGAGCTTCCAAGCTGAGACCTGCCCTTGGACCTTCCTCTTCCTCTGCCCAATGGGAGAAGGAACCTGCAGTGGAGCTGATCCAGCACCTGCTCAGCACCTCAGGAGGTCTGTGACGGTGCCAGCCCGAGGGGACACAACCTTTCCTGGTGCCCTCCTCAGCACCCCAGGGACAAAGGGGTGCTTGGCCAGAGGGGGTCTACACCAGGTGACAATGAGCAACCTGGGCTAGTGGAAGGTGTCCCTGCCCATGGCAGGGGGTTGAAGCTGGATGGACTTTAAGGTTCCTTCCAACCCAAACCGTTCCAGGATTTGGTATCTCCAGCCAGCACATCTGACCCAAGGCCTCCAGGGTCCCCAAGCCCAGGGACCCCCACATATGTCACTGGTCAGGTGACGAGGGGACAAGCAGCAATCAGGGCTCCCTTTCTCCTCCGTGGGAGGGCCAGGCTTGGTGAAGGACAATCAGTCACCCCCTGCTGATCTCCCAGGGCAGCTCATGGCCTCCATCAAGGAACACTGCCATGAATTATCTCAGTGTCCACAGGGGACAAACTGGAGCTCTGAGCCCCAGAGGGCCTGGAGGGGCCATTCCCAGTCACCCAGGACACCCTCTTGGCTGCCAGAGGGGCACAGAGTGGTCACTCCCTAAGGAGGCTGAGCACACCAGGGTGGTGGCTGGTTGGTGCTCCAAGCCCCTCTTGACCTCTCTCCCAGGAATTACCTTCCTGCTGGACAGTCAGTGGCACAGGGACATCTCCACAGCAGAGGCCTGTGCTGGGCAGGGTTCAGCTCCCACAGCAGCTTTGATCAGCCCTTTGTTACCTGCAGGGGCTCCAGCAGGTAAAGAACTGGAGTTTGGCTGTTGTACTGAAGGATTTCTCTCAGGAGGAACCTCTGAAGCCTCCTGTCTCCCAAATCTGCTCCCAGCAGGGCTACCTGATCCTGCTGCTCAGGACTTCCTTTGAGCCTTGAGTGAAGGAGGGATGGTTGTCCTTCACTCAAGGACTGAACATCTCCAAGGACAGACAGACCTCAGCTCCTCTGGGTGCCTGGCCTGGGGCTGTCCCACCCTGCTGGGCACTGAACAGCTCCTTTTCCCAATCTGCACATGGAAGCCCCACCTTGGGACACACCTGGCACCACAGGAGGGTTGGCTCCCTCCAGTTTGGAACTGCCCTTCAAGAAGGGCTGTCTAAAAGGCTGCTTTTAGACACCCCAGAACCTCCTCCCCTTGGGCCCATGCCCAGGAGAGGTCAACAGGCTCCTTCCAACTGTTCTCCAGTTACTCCACATCCTTCCTTACTGGGGGCCACTCCTGCACTGGCTACAACAGCTTTCCAGAGCTTGCTGACCACATTCCTCTGGCAAACCACTCATGGGGTGATGTTCTGTGGCTGGAAACACCACTGCCCAGCAGCCACAGACCCCCTCCAGCAAGGCCTCTCTCCACCCCACCTCTGCTGCTGGAAGTTTCACAGATTTTGGCTGTGCTTTGGCCACCAGACACATTCCAGTGTATGGCAGAGCAGGATCTCACCTTCCACTTTATTACAAAGTTTAAAAGTTTGCTAAAAACACCAAACAAACCATGTTAAAACCACGTGAAAAACATCTGTAAATTCTCAAAGACAACCCCCCCAAACCATGTGAGGAGCAAAAATCTCACCCCCATGACCCTCCCCTCCCAAGTCTTGGCACCTGCTTTCACTCTGGAAGGGCAAAGAACATATTCCTGCTGAAGAGAGACTTCCAGAGGGACCACTGTGTCAGCAGCTCCATGAGGAGCTAGAGGAAGCTGCTGGCTCTAAACATGGCTAGCAGAGAGGAGGGAAGATCCCAGCCCAGAACACAGCCAGGGACAGTGAAGACACTGCATCCCCACCAGTTCCCAACAAGAGAAGGAAGTGTCCAAGCTGCTGGTGGTGCCAACTTCATGCTGATGGTCCTCACTCCAGCTCTTGGATGTGCTTCCTGGTCCTGACATGGAGGCTGGCTTGGCCAAATCCCTTTCCAGCCCCTTCTCATCTCCCACTTTGGTCCAGAGAGCAGCCAGGAGGTGGTTTTAGCTTGTCCAGCTGCCACAAAACGTCTCAAATACAGGGAAAGGGGCTCCTCTGGTGTCCGTGCAGCAGGTCCGGCAGTTCCCGCTCTCCTGGCCCGCCCAGCCCGGCTCCAGGTCCCGCCGGAGCACCGAGCACAGGGACTCGTACCCGCTGTCCCCGCCCCTGCCGTGTGTCCTCTGGAGCACGTCCCTGTCCACAGCTGGGATCCTGCTGCCCTGGACACCCGTTGGCAGGGGGAGCAGCTGCACATCCCACTCCGACTCGGAGGAGCTCCTGCCGGCGCCAGGAGCAGCTCCTGTGCTCTGTGTGCTCTGGGCAGGAGGGGGAAGGAGCCCAGGGCACGGTGCCCGCTCTGTGCTGTGCCCGGGGAGCTCAGGAGCTTCGGGGGCTGCTTTTTCTGCCGCCCTGACACAGACTGAGCAGAAACATCTGGCCCCAGCCCCGGGCGGTGTGGGAGAGGGCGGGCGGCCAGCGGGGCAGCTGCTCCCGCTGCTCACTGTGCTCTCCAGATCCAGGCTGCTCCCATTCCCGGGGGTGGCACCGTCCCCTTGGAGCTGCTGCCCTTGGGATCTCACACTCGCCCCGCTCCAGCCACGCTCGCTGACGGTGCTGGCTGCAGCAGCTCCTGCAGGATCCACAGCTCCCAGGGATCCCGGGTCCCCAGGGCTCCCGCCCAGGCACGGATCCAAAGCCAGGGAGCCACGAGGTCTGCTGCAGAGCTGTGTGTGCAGGGACAGCCTGGCAGCCTCTGTCACACCGGGCAGGCCTGGCTCAGACATCTGCCCTGCACCCTGGGCCCCCAGCCCACCACGCGCTGGGTCCTCCTGCTCCCCCCACTCCAGCCTGGGCCTCTTCCCCACCTGGCAGCTCTGGCTAGGGGACAGCAGGCGCTTCCTGGGGACAGGCAGTGCCTCTGGGGGGTGGCTCACAGACCCAGGCAATTGCTGGCCACGAGGTTCAGATGCAGGAGCAACTGCCTGTGTGACAGGAGCAGCCCCTGCACAGGATCCCCAGCCCGGGGCAGGGGCTGAGCCCAGCCCTGCACCCCCCAGCCCGGCCCCCTCCGTGGTGCCAGGGGCAGCACAGACCCCTCCCCTGAGCTCTGCTCCCCTGGGCAGCCCCACAGAGCTGTGTTCTGACAGCCCCCCTCCTTCTCTGGGATCTCTGACCCTGTCCCCAGGCAGGCAGGGGGAACATCCCTTGATCTTCAGGTCGTGATCCTGCTCCATATCCATTACCAGTTCCACAGCACCCTGCTCAGGCTGCTCCTTTTCCTTTCCCAGCTCTGTCAGCATCTCCACTCCTCCAGTACCATGTGCTTGAGGCACTAAATGTTCATCTGCCAGGCAGGACTGTGGCACCCTGAGAAGAACCATCAGTTAATGCTCATCCAGACCCAGCAACACCCTCCCCCAGCGAGACAAGGCCTCTCCTGCAGCACAGGGTGTTTGCAGCCCTTGCTCAGGAGCAGGGGAGGAATTTCAGCCTGGTGAGGCTCAGCAGTAACAATGCTGCTGGCAGGGGAGATGGGCAGCACAAGGGATCTCAGCCTCCCCACAGCCCAGGGCTTGGGCACAGGGCTGCTACAGAGCCGTGGGGTTTGTGTCAGACATGGGGACAGAAGGGGTGGGCTCAGCTGCCCTTTTGTAGTTTAGGAGGCACTAGAAGGCCATGGGGAGTTCCCTGAAGCAGAAAACCCATGGAAATGCAAGAACAGCTCCCATGGCTTGTCTAAGCTTCACCTGGCAGGTCCAGGTTGGTCCTGCTGCAGCCTCTGCTCCGCCTGCCCAATTCCCTGGCACAGGGACCCCATTCCCATGAGTGTGCCATGCAGCATCCTGCTGTTTTGGGCTCCAGGAGTTACCAGACCCCCAGACTTACCTGTCTGAGCACTGCAGGAAGCTGTTGGTGATCTGGGAGATGACACGATCCACAGGGATGTACTGGGAGTCATCCTGGGCAAAGCGCTGGTGCCGGGGGCTCTGGAGGTGCTGGAGGGGGGCAGAGGCCCTTTAGCAACATTTAAAGTTTTCCCAGGAGGGGAACTTGCAGTAACAGGCACTTCCCACAGCCTGACAGACTAGAGGGTAAACTAGAGCCATTGTTTGGGAGTAGGTTTGGACCCCTTGGCCACACTGTCCCCCCTGGCTGTGCGGGGGTCCCATTCCCAGACACCCCTGGATGGGAAGGCTGTGTCCACACCCAACAGCAGCCACAGCCTCCCCAGCAGCAGGAAAGACACAGACTCCAACAAGACTGTCTGTCAATGAAGGCTGGGTTCTGAAAGCCACGTTATTTGGCACCTTCCAGGAGATAAAAAACCCTTTTCCCAACTTTTAAATCTGCCTGTGCCCCATGACTGCCATGGAACAGGCTCCTCACCTTATGGATCAGGGAACAGGATGATTCTTGAGGCTCTCCCAGCCCAAGAGATGAGCATGTCATGCTCCAATCTTCAAAAACAGTGTGCCCAGACCAGGTCAGAGCAGAGATATACCATATTCCCATCTACAAGGCAGATCCTACTGGATACCACAAGGGATACAACCTGGATACAACGGTTCCTTCTGAAGGAGTTCATGGTGCTAACGGGCATGACATGATTGACAAAAGCCACTGAGTGACCCCCATAACTTTGGCAAGGAATTGGATGCCAGGGGAACCTTTACCTTGTGCAGCTCTTCGAAGGTCTCCTGGCAGCACTCACAGAATCCCCTCCGTTTCCTGGGCACTGGGGTGGAGCGGGGGCTCTTCCCTCCGTCACTGCGCAGGGCACAGCCCCCTGCCCCCCTGGGAGGGACAGCAAAGGTCACCCTGCCCTGGCAGCACCAGCAGGGACTGTGCTGCCTCTGAACCCAGCACAGGGCTCCCTGTGCCCACATCCAGAAGGCAGCAGGTTCCCAGATCCCAGGAATCATCAGTGAGAAGGAGAGTTGGGTTAAAAACTTGCGCAGAAGGAGCTACATCTTACCTGGCTTGGCAGGAATTCGAGAGGCTTTTCAGAGGCTCAAATGGGCTGGAGCTTTTGGGAGCCAGGAAGTTCAGGTCGGGAAAGCTTTGGAACTGGTGATGGAAGGGCCGGAATTGCCTGAAAGCAGCAGATCAGGTCATCAGTCTCCTGGCAGGGACAGCCTGGTCACAGAGCTGTCCCCCCCACAGAGGGGATCAAGGTGCTGTCCCATTTATGAAGAGACACTGCCCATTGCTCTCCTCTGGCTGTGCCAGAACTGCCCTTTCTTAAACGAGATTTCCAGTAATGGCCCTGATGGGGCATGTTCTGGACAGGAGGTAGGTTTGCCTGCCCAGCCAAACCCCACCTTTTGCCCCAGGGCACAGCAGGGCAGCATCTCCAGCTACAGCAGCACGGGATGGGTTTGGTTCCCAGACCACATCTCTCCCCTCACACTTCAGTGCATGCAGCACATAAAACTGAACATTTGACTCTGAGCTACCCCAAGTGTTGCCTTCAGGATAATTAATTGGCTCAGTGGATACTGTTAGAGTTACAGGCTTGTCAGAAACACCACAGGATTAGGTCCCCTGTGCTGAGGGCTGTAATCAAGTTACAGGCCCTGACCTCCTGTGCTTCAATCTCCTTCCTCAATGCACAGGGCTCGAGTGGATTAAGTGACCTGACAAGGATCACACATGGAACCCGAGCAAGGAAGGAAACTGTTGTCAAGTCTCGTTTAACACCTTTTTTCCCCCTGACACACGAGCCACCTGGATTGTTTCTCCAAACTCCACCTGCCTCCCTCTAGGAGAGGGTCAGCTTCCCAGTGTGGAACAGGGTCTGCCCTGTGGGCAGAACAGTCACTGGGAATGAAACCAGTGAAGGATTCCCTCCCTGGGAGCCCCCCAGGTTTTAAGATATGTTATTTAGAAAGGTCACATTTACCTGCTCTGGTCTTCAACCTTCAGAAAAGGGGGCTTCAGCCTTCCTCCTAGAGAGAAATGTGGTTAGAAGTTTTCCTGACCCAATTCCCAACTTAGTCACTCATTTCCCAACAGAACTGGGCTACAGAGCTGAGCTCATCAGAACTTCTGACACAGGTGAATGCCAAGTGATGGCTGAGCACAGCCAAACCAGCTCTTTGGGTGATTCTTCAACAGCCCTCAGAGTGTGCAGTGGGGGGACCAAACCCCAAAGCAGCCCAACAATGGGACATGTCCAGCTTTGGAAAAGCAACCAGCCAACCCTCACCCTTAATGCCTCTCCAGCCTTACACTGGCCCAACCCTGAGCCTTCTGACTCGAGCCCTAAGAACTGTCACATCCTCTCCTTGATGTGGCCACGGCACACGAGGGAGGAGGTCACCAGCAACAAACTGCAGCAGCAGCAGCACAGGCTCAGAGCTCTGCACCAACCTTCCCTCACCTTTTCCTCCCCCCACCCTGACACAAGAGCCTGGAGCTCAAACCAGCTCAGGCCAGGACAGTGAAATCAAAGCAATAAGAGCTGCTGGAGACAAACCAAGGTGCTGCACAGCCAAGCCTGGCACCAGAACACTACTCGAGAGCAGAATCTGGCCTTCACTCATCCCTGAGGAGGGCAAACAGCAGCTTTGCTTCCTACAGAGGCATAAAATACATGAAGGGAGTAGAAGAGCCTCAGCAGTGCATTGAGGGAAAAGGTTTTCAGAGCCAGGCTGGGGGAAGAAGATCCCAGGTCCCTCCTGTCCCACAGGTATGTTCCTCTCATAAGTGATAACATTACTCACCTTGGAAACCTGAGAACTGATCTGGCTGAGAAGCAAATAAGCCCCAAGGTGTTCCCACAGGGAGTCTGCCTGACCCTGAAACCAAGCCTCTCCTGCCTGCCTCGCTGCCTCTGAAGGGCGAGGAGGTTTGTTTTCTCATGATCCTGGCACTCAGAGCTATTTTTTCCAGAGATATTTCACCCTCCTTCCCCAGAAAGGCTGAGCCCACCTGTCCTCACCAGCAGCTCCTCAAGCCTCACCCTCCACTTGCATTAAATGTGCTGCTACGTCACCCCAGCAGCTATTTCAGTGCTGGATCGAGTTTTTCCTGCGTAAATGCTGCCAAATGCTCAGCACTTCTGAGGGTGAGGCCGTGTTGAGGCCCCAGCTCCAGCTCAGGCGGGTGCACAGGCCCGAGCAAACAGCTCTGCTGTCACTGTGAGTCCCCAGGCCAGGCTCAGAGCGTGCCACAGCTCAGAGCCTGCAGCACAATCTGCCTTATCCAACAGCTTCTCCAGCCTTTTTTCAGCACCTTCTCCCCACCCCAAACTGGGAAATAACCTCCCAAGTGTCACACACACGGTCCAGGTGGAGGCTGCTCCGAGACGTTCCCGCGCGTTCGCTCTCCAGCGCGGAGTCACGCACGGCCCAGATGAACTGACGTCAGCAGTGCCAATCTCAGCCCCACAATTGGCTCTGGTCTAATTGCAGATGAGGACCTGGTTGTTCCCCCCTCCCTCCTCCCTTTGGATCGGTGCCTCAGCAGCACATCTCAGCCCGACAGCAGTGAGTGGGCTGGAGGAACACGCTCTCCTCTGTAGGATGCATTATATTCCTCGAAACCTCCTCTGAGCTGCTGGATTCAGTGTGCAATAACACGGTTCTCAGGTGCCTCAGGATTCTGGGAGCTGGCAGAAAAGGGTTTACGGGATTTTTAAGAACACTGCCCCGAAATCAAAGGTCCTCAGCTGTGGCTGCAGCCACTCCCACTCTGACAAGGAGTAACAGAATCCCTTCAAGGCAAACTGCCATAAGAGTTGGCATATTTTGGGATTGCTGAAGCTCCAGATGGATTTCAAATTCTAAATGAGGCTTCTGCAAGCAGTTCCACATCTGAGCACAAACAGGAGCACAACTTCCAGGCCTACCTTTGTGAATTTTGGATCCAGAGGCAAAGCATTTCCCCTGGAGGAGAAAGGGACACATTTAGCATGGGAACAGCACAGGCAGAGCTGCAGTTCCTCATCCCAGAGCAGCAGCAGCCTCACCCACCACCCTAGAGTTCCTGCATCACCACCCAGAACATCTCCCCTCATTTTGTCTCCCAAGTTACCCAGACTTAGTTTAAATAGAACACACAGGTCTTGCATCCCACCCTCCCCCTGACCTCCCCAAGGCATTAAAAATCCTTCAGGAAGCCAGTTTACCAGCCACATCACCTTATTTTGCTTTGCTTGCGTGTGTGGCTGTTGCTTTCCCTATTAAATCATCTCTATCTCAATCCATGAGTTCTCTCAGTTTTTCCTCTCCCAGTTCTCTCCCAATCCCACCTGAGGGGATGAGAGTGACTCTGTGGGGTCGAGTTGCCATCTGAGGCTGGAAGATGACAAACCCTTTGTCCCTTGTGAGCCAAAATCAGGATTAGCTGTGCTACAGATATTGATAGTTATCAAACAGCTGCCTCATTCTCATCTGACTGTACCCTCAACTTTATAAAAGGAAAAATTCTTTGAATTTTGTCATCTCCCTCACCAAACAGAAGCACCAGACTGCCCAGTGCTGGATGGGATCCAGCACTCAGATCACCCTCCTGACTGGCCCACTGGCTCTGGAGGAGCTACAAGGATTGTTCAGAGCTACCCAGGGGCCATGAGCTCACGAAATTGGCCGGAGTTAAGTTGTTACCTCCGTCTTCTGGCAGCGTTTCCTCACTCCTGAGATGGCTCCCAGCAGCTGCTGGGCATAGGACAACATTTCTGTGCAGGTGGGATGTCAAGGAGCCAGAGCTCAGCAAGGGCAGGGAGCTGTTCCCCTCTCACTCAGCACAGTCGCCCACGGCATCGGGAATGCTGAAGCCCTGGCAGAGAATCCATCCCCCACCCAGGGAACTGGCCCAAGATGAAGCCAAGAGACACTTTGAGGGACAGCCCCCCCTTTGCTCTCTGGCAGAGCTGGAGGCTGTGGGGCTCTACAGAGAGCAGACAGTGGCAGGGGTTTGCAGCAGGGAGAGCAGCCCTGGGTCTGCCAGCCCTGCCAGGCTCCGTGGCTCAGCAGAGCTCAGGGACAGGGCAGCAGCGCCTGCACCACGCTCCAGACAGGCTGTATGTCACTGTCACCAGACACTCAGGAACCTTTTACTCCAGACCTATTATTAGAACCAGAGTCCCACCATCTATCTTTCCCATCACCCCCTCCCCATCCATCACGGGGACAGGGAGAGCCTTCCAGCACAGGCCCTCAAACACCAGCACTGCCTAATTAAAACCGACCAAACCCTGCCCTTATCGTGATCTGTGCTTCCAGGTTAATTAGTAAAAACGGTCTTTTTGGAGCAAACTGATGCACTGACCAAGCTATCAACATTTTCTAATGTTACAGGTTCAGTACATGGGGATGTACTGCTGACAGGGGGATGTTCTGTACACAAAATTAACTGCTGTTGGGGGGCAGACCCAGCCTCAGCCAGCACAGCATCAGCCCAGTATATTTGCTTGCAGCCTCTCCCTTCTGTTCCACACTCCTGACATCACTCCTGCTCCACCTGTCTCACAGATCCCTGATTTCCAAGAGCCTCGTTCCACCCCCAGTTAAGGATACCATCCACGTGCAGGATCTGGACTCCCCACAGGCGGGCGTTGGCGAGGATGCTGCTGCCACTGCAGGTGTCCTGCACAGAGAGGGTTGGCAAAGCACAGCTCAGAGCAGGGACATGTGCAGCTCTAAATTGAGCTTAGACTTAGGGGTTTTTTTCCTGCTGCCCAACTGACAGACCACTGCGTAGCTGTTATTAAAATCAGGGCACAGCAGAAAAGGTTTGAACTCATGCTTTATCAATCCCAAATTAACAGCAGCACCTGGGGCAAATTTTTAATCCCTGTTACAGCATGAGCTTCTAAGTGGGCACTGAGATTGGTTTGGAGTGACATCAGGGAAAGGACTGCAGGGAACCTTTTGTCCCAGCTACGTGACTTTAGTTCTTTTTAGGCTAAAAATTCATCTAACAATAATTCTCTTGTCCTGAGCACCCAGATTGCTGGGACAGGCTCAGAGGTTGGATGTCGCCCATCCAGGATGGATGGCACAGCTCCACGAGGAGCAGTGACAGGAGGATTACACAACATTCTGCAGGCCACAAGCAACCGCTCCGTGCCTTTCCTGGCCCCAGGATGTGCCCTGTCAGCAGGGCAGGGGCTCTGCAGGAGGGCTGGCACTGGTTCTGCACCGCTCAGCAGAGCTCTGAGCACACCCCACCTGAGGGGAGCCCACCACGTGCTGCTCACCTGGTTCTTCATGGCCTTCTGCAGCAGCTCCTTCCCCCGGCTCAGCAGGGCCTGGAGAGAGGAGACACAGCCCAGGTTATGGCAGTGGGAATGATTCCTGGGGACACCCCCACACTGCTGGGGAGCAGGGCCTGGCCAAGGTTCCTCTCACAGCCGGTGGGAATGAGCACTTCCAGGGAGCAAACCCGCAGAGCCCCACTGGCTCTGCACTCACAGCACCAGCCAAGGCCTGGAATTATTGACCAGCAGTGAAGGCTCCAGAGTGAGCCAAGAGGAAGCAGTGATTTAGCTTGGAAATTGCTGCTGCATCATGGAATTGTTCAGGCTGGAAAAGCCCTCTAAGGTCATCCAGTTCAACCATTCCCCAGCGCTGCCAAGGCCACCACTAACCCATGTCCCCAAGTGCCACATCCACACAGCTTTTAAATGCCTCCAGGGATGGGGACTCCACCACTGCCCTGGGCAGCCTGTTTCAAGGCCTGAAAACCCTTTCAGTGGAGAAATTTTCCCAAATATCCAGCCTGAACCTCTCCTGGCACAACTTGGGGCCATTCAGTCTTGTCCTGTCACTTATTACCTGGGAGAAGGAACTGACCCCCACCTGGCTCCACCCTCGGTCAGGGAGTTGAACAAGTAAGATGCCCCCTGAGCCTCCTTTTCTCCAGCATGTTGGCCAGGGTTAGGAACATTCTTGCTTCCCTTCCTGGGAACAGAGTCTCACTGGCAAACCAGTGGGCTCAGACCAGTTCAGCTCTTGGTAAGACAAGGGGACAGTGCTGTGAGCAAGGGCAGGGACTGGGTGCAGCCCCTGAGGCTCAGGTTTCCCACTGCAGGGGTCCAGCTCCAGGCTGGCAGAGATGCCCTGGGCCTGGGGTGGGGCAGCAGCCTCTCCCCAGTCACAGCTTCCAGCAGACTCCACTTTCCAAGAGGGATTTTGGTGTTTGGCCTCAAGCACTGCCCAGCAAAAAGCCCAGCTCTGACAGGGTAAACAAGATCCAGAAAAACCCCTTGCTGGAGGAGATCCCTTGTGGATCCACAAGGGATCTCCTCCCAGGTTACAGAGGCCTTGCCCTGTGTCTGTGAATACACATCCACAGCCTGCAATGGTTTTATCTGGTCAACACTTCTCTGGCTTTTCCAGCCACACCTCTGCCCTTCCCTGGGGAAGCCAGCCAAGCCCTCCATTTCCTCTGCCATTCCAGCAGATTTCCTTGATCCCAGCCCAAAGCTGTGACATGCACATTTGAGAGGAGAATGATGGCAGATAAAAGGAACATGGGTACAAATAGAACAGCCAGAGCTGGGCAAAAGACCCCAGAGCAGGACTGACTTCACCTCCCAGCACTGGTTGTGTTGGGACCCCTTGGCACGAACTTGGAGGTGGCCAAAGCCTTTACAGCTCTTACAGTGTCTGGTGGCTTCTGGTGAGGTCTGGGTGGGTTCCCTCTGGAGGCAGGAGGCCCTGAGCTCGTGGCTTTGGTGTCTCTTGAAGTTGGGTTGCTCTGTTTCCCATCCCCAGTCCTGGCTCTGTCCCGTTTGGCCTCTTTGTTGCTGGACACCACGTACGTGACTTCTTTGCTGAGGAAGCTCTCGGTCACCTGCAGACACAGAACAGAGAAGCTCTGAAAGTGTCCAACTGTGAGCTGAAAGGGCCCTGCTAAACAAAACCACTGCCTCTGGTTTAACCCCCCCCCCACTGAGGGGCTGCTGGAAGCACTCATGCCTACAAGCATTCCTTCCTCCATTCCACACTGTGTCTCCCAGGAGGAGCAGACACTGTCACGCTCAGGGAGCGCAGGCCCCAGACATGCACAGCAGAGTCACCAGAACCTTCAGATCCAGACACCCACGATTGTCCACCATCACCTACTCCTCAAGCAGTGGTTTTGGAAAAAGGCAATAGCTGAGAAAAAGGCCCTGGACATTGTGGGTCAGGGTGGAGGAGCTCTGTCCTCAGGAGAACAGGATGTGTTTTAGCAAAATAAAGGAGAAAGTGAACAGCTGGGATGAGCAGCTCCACACAGAACAGGGCAGGAGGGAACCAGAACACACACACACAGGAGCTGCCAGTCCAAGGAAGAGCTGGAAACCCAGAAGTTGGGACACTAATGGTATTATAAGGCCATAATGACTTGGGTTCTCAGAAGCTGAGCAGAAGGTAGACACTAACACATGGGTAGGAGGCCTCCAGGAAGACAAAGATCTGGGCAGTCCAAAACTTCAGCTCTTGAACAAGCTGGTTCTGCTCCTTTACAGAATCCCCATAGATCAAGATCCCAGACTCACCCATGGGAAGTGCCAAAGGGACAGTGGAGGCTGCCCTGCAACAGTGACCCGTGTTACAGGAGCTCAATGAGGCTGGAAGCACAGAACAGAGGAAATCCCAACATCCTCGTCCAAATACCACTCCAGGGTGTCACCAGCCCCGTGCCAAGGTGAAGCTCAAGGAGCCACATGCAAGTCCAAGGCCACAGGATGCCCTTAACTGTGCCCTGAACGTCACACAGGACCTGGGCTGGGATAGTGCTGCCAAAGAGATGCTTCACAGACGGTGGCTGTGGTGGAGTTGGGTTCAGGATCTCCACAGAAGCAAGAGGAACGAGAACTCCACTCCCTGTGTGCCTCCTTTCAGACAGCGAGGTGACCCAGGATGGTGTCTGACAGGAATCAGAAGGACAAAAGAAGGCTAAAATTATTTCCAAGGGGCAGTTACATGGATAAATAACTGACTGCTGGTTCTCAGACTGGAAGATGCATAACTAGATGAGATGCTGTGAGCAGAGTGTCCCTGAGTGTGGATGGCACAGCCAGGGGAGGGCAGAGACAAACCACCAAGTTCAGGATGGTGGTGCAATCACAAAAAGGGAGAACAGTGCAAGGCACTGCACTTCCCCACGTGTCTGTGCAGCAGGCCCTGGCAGCAGATACAGCAGCAACAAGAACAAAGTGAAGATTTCACCTCTGTGTGTACATCAAAGGATTTAAATGTTGGGGTGACATGAGACAATCACCTCAGAGAGAGTAAAGAGCTTGAAAACAAATAGTAACAACTGTTAGGACCAGACTGTGCACAAGAGTAATAAAGACACAGAGATGAACCTGATGAACAACCAGGTACAGCCCCCGTGCTCAGCCCCAGCTCAGGGACTGAGGCGATGCTACTTTGTGAAGGGTCTTGAGAGAGGATATCAGGAATTCGTGAGGAATATCAGCGGCAAGGAAGCCTGGAGGCCATGAAGGATGTCACGTGGATCCACTCAAACAACAGCTTCACAGGGAAAAGGGTCCAGATGGTTTTTCTGGGAAAGCCACGAGAAAAGCACAAGAGCCTTGGCTGGTGCTTCCCTACTTTACCCTATGCTGAATTCCATGTGGAAGTCCCGCAGCGTCCCTAAAAAATTAAGCTGCCACAGGCTGTTGTGAGCGAGGGATAGCCAGGTACCAGTTACCATCACCTGAAAGGTGTTCCCCATGTCCAGACAACCAGTTGTCACTGACTGGAAGATGCGTCCATCACCAGGTAACCAGTTATCACCACCTGGGAGGTGCCCCCACGACTGGGCAACCAGCTCCCATATACTGGAAAGTGCTGCCAGGACCAAGTGACCAGTCACCCCTGTCTGGAAGGCACCTCCGAGGCCAAGGAACTGGTTACCACTGGAAGTTGCTCCCATGGTGGCCACCACCCCCCAGACGGTGCTGGCCAGACCAGGCAGCCCGGGAACCACCGAGAAGCTGGAGGGAGAGGTTTGCACGGAGCTGGTCCCGAGCAGGATGGTGGTACCCAGAGACCCCCGAGGGACCCTCGGGGGGCTGGAGGGCACGGGGATGGAGGGGTGTGATGGACTCAAACGTCGTTAATGTCCAGATCATAGAAAGACGTTTTGTCAAACTGCAAAGACGGGGATGGGGGGGACAGGAATGAGGGACGACCTCCCCCCACCCCGAGGGGCTCCGGCTGCCAAGGGACCGGGGAGGGGAACAACACCAAACCACCGGAAAAAGGGAAAAACTCAGGAAATTTTTTTTTAAAAAGAACAGAGAAAGAAAAGGGGCGAGAAGGGGGGGGGGCACCGCAGTCCCCAGTCACTGAGACCCCCGGGGGTCCCGGGAGCGGGGTGAGCGCGTCCCGGGGACACCCCCCCCCCCCCCCCCGGGGGACCCCCCAGTCCTGTTCCCCCCCAGCTCCCGGGACCCCCTCTCTCAATCCCGGTTCCCCCCCCCGGGCCACCCCTAGACCCGGGACCCCCCCAGTTCCCAGCCCCCCCCGGCCCCCTCCTCGGCTCCGGGACCCGCCGGGTCCCCCCTCACCCCGCCGAGCCGCTCGATGGCCTCCGCCAGGTGCCGGGCGCTCCTCCCGCCGGGCAGGTCGAGGTAGAAGGACTGTCCCCGGAGGGGCCGGGCGGCGGGGGCCGGGCCCGCCATGGCGCTCTCAGGGGGGTTCGGTCCCGCCGCCTGTTCGCGTTTAAACTCCGCCGCCCGCCCCGCCCCGCACGGCGGCCGCGCGGGGCCCCACCGCTGCCCGGGGGGAGGAGGAGCCGTGCGGGGGCACCGGGGGCACCGGGGGCACTCGGAATCACCCCCCGGTCCCGCCGCTCCCGCTCGGGCACCAACCCCGACCCCCGGCCCCGCCGCTCCCGCCGCCGCCACAACTCTGTCCCCCCGCGGCCGCCGTACCCCCCCACCCCTCCGCAGGCCCAAGATGGCGGCGCCCGGCGGGGCGGCCGCGGCCCCGATCCCGAACCAGATCCCGATCCCGGCCCCGCCGCCGTTCCCGGCCTGGCTCGCGGCGCGGCTGGACGCGCTGGGGCTGGACCGCGCCGTGTACGGCGCCTACATCGAGGGGCTGCTGCGGGAGGAGGAGAGCGACGAGGAGCGGCTGGAGGCGCTGCGGGCCGTGCTCGCCGCCTGCCTGGTGAGGGACGGGGGAACCGGCGGGGACCGGGGCAGGGGGGCCTCGCCGGGGCTCCCACACGGGCCGGGAGGTGACGCCGGCGGGGCTCTGTGGGGTCTGGCGGGGGACGGGGTGGGGCCAGGCGGGGCCGCTCCCGCGGAGCCCTGGGGTGGATCAGCCCCTTCCTGGGGTGCATAACCCCCTTCCCGGCTGGATCAGCCCCTTCCCGAGATGGATAATCCCCTTCCCGGCTGGATCACTCCCTTCCCGAGGAGGGACGCACCTCCGTGGGCCTTTCTGTCCCCTCCCCGGGCCCCTCGTGGTGTTCTGGGTGGGTTGTGGGTGGCTGGTTTGTGCCAGCTCGGGGCCGGTGGAAGCTCTGTCAGGGGTCAATGGGGGGCACAGCGATCCCCGTTATTTGTGTGCAGGGCTCGGGGGTCACTCCTGGGAGAGCCCTGGCGTGGTTTGAGATGACTTTCAAGGATAAATCCCCCGGCGAGGCTCTCGGAGGGTGTTGGGAGCTGCTCCCGTTCCCCACAGCACGTGGTGTCTGCCAGGACGGGCAGGAACAGCCGCGGGGAAGCTCAGGGCTTGTCTCTGCCCCTGGCACATTCCTGGGACAGAGCCAGGGGAGTGCAGGAAGGGATTTCTCTTCCACAGTTCTCTCCTGGATGATTTTTGCAGTGTCTCGGGGTGTTCCATAAAGGGATGTTTCAGAGTGTGAGATGTTAATTAGTGAGTGGTGCTGCTGTTGGTAACAGTCTGCTGATTTCCTTCTAAAATACCAGTGTGGGAGCACAAAACCCAAGGGGGCTTTGTCATTAAGATCAGGTTTTTGTTATCACAGGTTACAGTGTCACCTCATTCCTGCTGTTCCCTGGCTGTGCCGTTTCAGGCAGTTTTCTAGAGGTCAGAGCACCCTCAGTGCCTTTGCCATCCCCCCAGGGCTGTACACCAGCAGTGAGCTCCTTCCTGCCAATGGAACTGGCAGTGCAGCTTTGAGCCTAAAACAGCAGGAGAAGCAAACAGTGTTAGGGACAGAGCCAGATGTCTTTGGAAAGTGCTGTTCTGGAGTAGCCAAGGTTAATTAACTTATCTTTAACTACCAGACTTGCTTCACTCCATCACCCAAGTCCCCTGTCTGACCCTTGCCAGGCCTGGGAGTGTCCTGGCTGAGCTGAGGCCCTGCCATTGATATTCCCCTTTCCTGACATTCTGGGTTTGTGCTGTTTTCCCTTTTCTCCCCAGTCCTGAGTTCCCATCAAGTCCAGGGCTGTCTGTGCCCTCTCCCTGTCTCATCACAGCCTGTTCCTTCTCTTCCTTTGCTCCTTTGCAGTTTCCAGCTCAGTTTAATTTTTCTGCAATTCCTGTAAAATATTTTAGTCTGTTGAACGCTCAGACTTTGTAATTACTCTTTTTATTATGTTCTTTCCCCCCCCTTTTCTTTATTTGTAGATTCTGTGTTTATTTCTCTATTGACTTGTGAAACAATCTTTTATTTGGTGAATTGGGGCCTTTCTTGCCAAGTCTTTTCTCTTAGTTCTGTACACAAATTCCAGGTGATTTTTTTTGTTTATGTGTTTTTCTTTGTTCATTTGTTTGTTTTTCACAACCATTATGAAAGTGAAGCTTAGGTGACATCTGGACTCGTGTCTGTGGTTCCACAGTGCTGACCATGCCTTGCACTAGTTCATGAGTTTATTCAAGTGTCACCATTTCTAATCAAGGAATTTAAAATTGGGTTCTGTTTCTGTCCAGTTTTTTTCTTCAAACCAGACAGAACCTGGCTCACTTGTATTTTCCATGGTTATTTTTTCTCTGTATTCACTGAACTCCAAACCAACCTCATTTGTGCCGGTCGCTGCCGTTTCATTGTGAGTCTTCATTTCCCTCCATTTCCCTTCCCATTCCTGTATCTTGGCAATCACTTCCCTGATTTCCTTCCTCCTGCCCACTGAGACAGGTGCCCAGGGAATGTGTCTCTCCCAGCTTTCTCTCCAGGCTTAATATAAATTTCCTTATCATTCTGCCGGCCTTGATTCCTGTGGGCTGGTATTCCCTGCACCCAGGGGAGCCCATCCATTCACAGGATCCTTCTGCCATGAGTGTTCCTGGCACTTAAAAACTCTCCTGTCTTAGAATCATGGAGTCATGGAATGGTTTGGGTTGGGAGAGACCTGAAAACTCATCCAGTGCCACCCCCTGCCATGGGCAGGGACACCTTCCACCAGCCCAGGTTGCTCCAAGCCCCGTCCAACCTGGCCTTGGACACTCCCAGGGATGGGCAGCCAAACCATGCTGGTTTTCCCTCTCTTCCTGCGCCTTGCTGTGTGCCAGGGCTGGGAGGGTCCCCCTGACTGCCCCTGAGGTGCTGTTTCCCTGCACATCATCCCTGTTGCTCATCCAGTGCGTGTTCCTGGGAGGATCCCGGTGTCACTCCCGGTGGGAGTGGGGTCGGTGGGTTCTCCCAGACCTAAAAACCCACCTGCTCTGAGCAGAAGAAATTCTTTTCTAGGCAGAGTTCATCAGGCTTTTGGCCTCTCGGAGCTTTTGGCACGGGCAGGGGGAAGGCTTTGCCTGGCCAGGGTTTGGTAGCAGGGGCACAGGGGTGACTTCTGTGAGAAGCTGCTGGAAGCTTCCCCCCTGTCCAGCTGTCTCCAAGACACCTGGTGCCTCTGGAATAACAGAGGAAAGAAGAGGGGAAAAGCCATCTGTGGATGCTCAGTAATGAAGAACAGTGTGGGTGCCCCTGCTGCCACCTCTGGGTCGTGTTCTGGTGCTCCAGGCAGGCCAGGGGGACCACACTGTCCCTGCTGCTGACAGGGGATGGTCTGTCAGTGCCACCACAGCGGTGTCAGCTCCGTCCTGGCCCTGACCCACAACTTATCCAGAGTCATTTATTCCCTTCTGTGGGCATGGAGCTGACATTGAGTCACTTCTCTGTGGCCTTGCTCAGGAAGAAAGAGGACTCTGGGCGGTAGATTTTGGGAGCAGAGATCCCCAAGTGCCTCCTTGTGCCTGTGCCTGTGGCACCAGCACAGCCCCGTCATGAACCCCGTGTGTGTTGGAGCTGTTGGTGTGCAGAGGGACCGGTCCTGGTGTGATTGTCTCACCCCAGGGTAACCAGAGTCCTGTGGGTGTGTTTAATGAGCAGATTTGGGGTGAAAAGCTGTGTCCTGAGCTCACTGCTGGGGCTTCAAATTCTTTGCAGCTGGTACTTCTCCTGTCTGACTCCAAGACTGAGGAATCTCGTTTCCCTCACTAGGAAGAAGATCTCTTGAACGATGTGTGCAGGGAGGTCGTGGAGAAGTGGTCTGACTCTCAGGTTGTTGATGCCAAAGAGGAAAAAGAAGGTACTGTGCTCTCAGGGTGCCTTGGGGTGCTGACCTGCCCCTCATTCCATCACTGCTCAGTTACTGCTCCATCCTGAGGTACGGAATGGGAAGGAGCAGTTCCACTTTGGGCTGTCCCTGCTGCTCTTTGGTTCATCTCCCTGCAGGGGAAAAGCTCTTTTTTGTTTATTTTTTCTTTTTTTTCCCAGTGGGGGTTGGAATGCCATGGTCATTAAGGTCCAACCTGAACCATTCTGGGATTTTTTTCAGGAATCTTTCCCAGCACACCCAGGGCTGTCTTTGCTCAGCACTGACACTGCAGCTGCACTCTGGGGGGAGATGCAGCAATTATGGCATAAAACACCTGTCTGCTCCAGTTTATGCCAGTCTGGAAAGCAGCTGGTTTGGACAGGCAGCTGGAGAGCTGGGCTGTCCCTGCTGCTGACCCCAGGAAAACACCCCTGTTTCCTCTTCCAACATCTTCCCTTAAAACTCCCTTTTTTCCATAAGTGCTTGTTGGAGGAAGCTGTGAGGCTGCTGCTGAACCATCACTGCTCCTTCCCCACCTGTGGGTACAGTCCCACTGTTCCTGTGTCCCCTGAGTCCATCCCTGGTCCCTGAGCAGGAGCCCTGTGCTGGAAGGATTTGCTGGTTCAAGCACACTGGGATCAGTGAGTGACATTCCAGCAGCAGGGACCTGACCCGAGCCCGGGACAAGGGAACATCCCTTTGGGCTAAATCCTGCTTTTTGTTTGCTTTGCATTTTGCTGTCACTCCTGGTTGCAAACAGCACGTTGTCAGTGCCCAATGTCACCCGGGAGTGGCTCTGGCAGTGACCAAGCCCAGCATTCCCCTCTCCCTCACCCCCTGGACACGGCAGCTCCACCACGCAGCAGCTCAGTGGCTTTCCCCAAAAATTCTTGGCCTGACCTTGCCTTTCCACGCATCAAATAAAATAAATTCCTGCTGGGGACAAGTGACTGGGATTGCTGGAGCTGCTGCTGGGCTCCTCCTGCTCCTGCCAGTGCTCACCCACAGGGATTTTTCTTGTCACAGAAGGGCAGCAAAGTGTGTCTGAGTTCATGGAATTCGAGGGTTTAATTATTTCACTGGGGTTCCATGAAAGGATAAATCACCACTGAAGTCTGTGTTCTACTCAGAACAGCAGAATCCTGAGCATAAGTGATTGACAGACTAAAAAATGATTTGGTGTCAAAACTTGGAGGTCATTTTAGGAAATGGGCAGCAGAATTTCAGTGTTAAAGGTAAATCAGCTGTTGGTCTCTCCTGGTTGGGAGCAGAGGGAGAGCACAGCACTGATCCCTCACTTTGGGTTTCCAGAATTTTCTCATTGGTGGGGTTTTTTAAATATGTACTTAAATAAACTTATTAAGCTGCTTTGAAGTGGAAGAGAATGTGATTTGGAGTCAAATGGATTTTCATTAGGCAGAGCCTGAGTGATTCCAGTTTCACTGTGAAACTTCCCTCGCTCCAGGAAAAACAGTGTCTGCTCCAGGAATACCAGTGTTTGCTGGTGGCTGGGCACAGCACAGGGAATTCCCCTCACAGGGAGAAGCCATTGTCACATCACTGTGTCACCCCCTCACTGGCCCAAACAAGTCCCATTGCGGCTCCCCAGCAGCTCCAGCTCTCACAGATCCCAGCTGGAATTCCCCAAAGCAGCCAGCTTTGACTGTGGGACAAGCTTGTGAGAGGAGGGGGTGTTTTTGGGTGAGAGCTCTCCCTCTGGGTGGTTGGTTTGTCCCACAGGACACGCTGGGGCTGCAGAGGGAGGAGGCAGCGATGGCCCCAGGGCTCAGGGCCGTGTCTGCAGCACGGGCTGACACTGTCACTCCTCTCCTGCCAGATGAGGTCCAGGCCATTGCCAGCATGATGGAGAAGCAGGCCAGGATCGTGGTGAAGCCCAAGGAGGTCTCCTCCCAGGAGGAGAAGCAGAGGAAGGCTGCTCTCCTGGCCCAGTACGCCAACGTGACCGACGAGGAGGAATATCCTTCCCTGTGCCGGCTGAGACTCGGGGCTCTGGGGGACAATGTCTGCTCTAAACCTCCTGCAGCAGCAACACCTTCCTGGCTTTGCAGGGTCTGGTGGGGAGAGCTGGGGAAACTTGCCAGTCTTCCTTCTCTGTGGTAAAATAACTTCTATGGACAAAGCATGAAAGCTCCCAGTTTGTGGAGTGCTGGGAGCAGATGCTCCTTGGAGGATGTTTCTCCCACCAACATGTGAAGGTTTGCCCAGCCCAGAGGTGGCAGGAGACCCCCTGTCCCTCTGTGAGATGGTGCTGAGTTTATCTCTTGCTTTCTGAGGAGAAATCTCCTGAAAAAATCCTTTACAGAGTGTGTGGAGTGAGAGGGCTTGGAGGTAACTCTTGGTGGTGCTGAAGAGGGAACTCTTCCCTGTACAGCAGAGTGAATGGGAAGGAATTGTACCCAGCCCTGGAGCAGCAGGAGCTGAGCGTGGGAGTTGTGCCTTCCTGGTCTGTGTGAGTTCAGCTGCTCCCTCCTGCCTTGATAAGTTGTTATTTGAGGTGTTTGGAGTGGTGTGACTGTGGAGAGGCACAGGTTCATGTGCCTGTTTCCTTAATTCTCTCACCGGTGGGGACGAACAGGACGGACCGACTGGGACAGCAGTAAACATTGGATCTGAAAAATGTATCCTTTGAACTCCTGGTGACTTGGGCTGTTTGGCAGGCAGGCAGCCCCCATGGGGAGCTTCCCATCCTTCCTTCCCTGTGCTCATCTCCCTGTTTCTTTAGGGCCACCTTTCCAGCTTGGGGATTGGTTTTTCTCTCCGTGTAGCCCGACCTTGCAGTGACAGTGACACTGCCCTGTCAGACGGTTCTCCTTCCTCTCCCCTATTCCTTCCTTCCCTCTTCCACCTCCCTGCAGCTTCACAGAACAAGGACAATTCTCCCAGAAGCTCAGATTAACGTTAACTGGTGTCCAGAGAGGGAAATCACACCAGGAATGAGGCTCCTCAGGCCACGGTGCAGCTCCAGGTGGGCAGGACCAGGGGTCCTGTGTCCATCTCAGGAGGGTGATTTGGGACAGTCCTGGAGCTCCCAGCTGGCAAGTCTAAGATGGAAGCAGGTTTTATCACATAATTAAATATGAAACATAAATTATTCTTGTCGGTACGTTAGGGACAGATATGGATCTGTCTGCACATACATGCGTGTACACACATGTATGTATGTGTGTGTTAGAACATGTCTCACAGCTGCAGTGAATCCACTCGAGGCTCTACCCTGCGTGTTTTCTTCCTCTCAGGTTTGTAGAGGTTTGACACATTTTTTTACACATTCAGCCTTAAGAACCTGGAGACACCTTCATTTTTCTAGGAAAAAATTGTAGAATCATTAAGGTTGGAAAAACGCTCTGAGATCATCCAGTCCAACCATCCCCCAGCACTGCCAAGGCCACACTGACCCATGTCCCCAAGGCCACATTCAGACAGCTTTTAAATCCCTTCAGGGATGAGGACTCCACCACTGCCCTGGGTGGAGGAAATTCCATGAAGGAATTTTCCCAATATCCAACCCCAGCTCCCTTAGCTGCTCCAGACCCTTCCTTCTCACGGAGCCTGCGATTATTCTACCTGGCTTTTCTATCTGGAAAAACAGATCCCTTTTCCTTTCTCCATTCCTCATTCCCCAATTCCTTACCTGCCTGGTGAGGAAGCAGAAGTGGGAGTTGGCAGGTGAAGGGGGAGGTAGAATAAACTTGGTCAGCCCTTAACTCCCCCAGCGCTGTTCCGGAACACCAACGTGGAGGATGTGCTGAACGCCAGGAAGCTGGAGCGGGAGCTGCTGCGGGATGAGTTCCAGAGGAAAAAAGAGCAGGATAAACTGCAGAGGGAGAAGGACAAGCTGGCCAAGCAGGAGCGGAAGGAGAAGGAGAAGAAGCGGACACAGAAGGGCGAGCGGAAGCGGTAGCTGGTGATTCCCAGCTGGACTCTCAAGGGATAAAAATAATTCTGAATACGGTGTGTGTTTAAAAAGCAGCAGGAATTGTGGGCACGTGGCTGGGAGTGGTTCTTGGGAAGTGTTTCCTTTTTTTTTGGCTTTTTTTGGGGTTGTTACATAGCAGAAAAGAAACTGAGCAGCTCCTGGAGCCGTGTGCCCTGTGCTAGTGGTGTCAGTGTCCCCGTTGGTGCTCGTGGCCAGTGTCTGTACCAAAGAAGGGTGATTATGTCCATGGTGTTCAATTGATCCATTTTTACTTCTGACCACCCCAGAGCAGAGCACGGTGGAGGAGTTTGTTCAGGTCAGGACACGCTGCTCCGGGGCAGATGTGGATTTATTTACACAAGCCTTGAAAAACGTCTTTGCAAATCCCTGTGTTTGTGCTGCCAAGAACAAGGCTACAGCCCTGCTCAGGCTGGAGCAGGATCGGAGCTGGGCGCAGTGTGGGCAGTGCTGGTCTGCAGCACAGCAATGAAGTGTGTGAACTAGAGATGAGCTGCAGCGACACGACTGCACCACCCGTGGGCTGTGGGTGAGGGAAACGCCCCATGGGCCGGAGCATCGGCCTCCACAGCAGCAAACCACGCTCCTTACAGGATTTTAAGACTCCAGGTAGCTGGAAAATGGTGCTCCCCAGCTCCCTGATGTTCTGAGGGGGAGAACACAGACTGTTATTTCCACAGCTGTTGCCAGGGTGAAGCTCTGAGGCCGTCTGGGCACCGAGCAGGGTGAGCTGGGGATGCACTGGAGTCACCAGCCCGTTGCTCTCCCTGGGCACAGCTCCCATCAGGAACCAGGGTCCAAATGCTTTTCCTGCCCCAAAGGGCTTGTCCCTGCTGTTCCAGCTTTTCTTGCAACGGTGTCACCCACCTTGGGAAGGAAAACACTAATCCTGTGAATGGAGGGGAAGGAGGAGCTGCAGCACTTTCCGGGCCCTGTGCCTTGGCCCTGTGCCACATCCTGCTCTGCTGCCCGTTGGCTGCGACGTGCCCTGTGTCCTGTGCTCCACAGCTGCCGAGCTCCCATGGTTGTAAACTCCTGAGCTCCTGAGCTCCCAGGGTGCCTGACCCAGCACCTGCTTTTGGCACCGCTCTGACTGCAGGGCCAGGCCTCTCCTCACCCCCTGCTGTGCGTGTGACTCTGCAACTGCTTTGTCTTTGGACTTGAACAATAAATCTGGTTGGCCAAGACGTGGTTCCTCTGCCTCAGTGCCGTGGCAGTTCGTGCTGTGGTGCCCGTGGTGCAGTGCCCTCTGTCCCCGCTGGCCCCTTGCCCAGCAGCAGCATTTTGGAGGGCTCGCCCGTTGCTGCCGTGCTGCAGGTCCTGCTCCATTCACGCCTTGTTTCCCAGGGCTGTGGTGCCCCTTCCGCCCTTGCCAGGCACTGTCCCAGCTGTGCCTCTCCCCAGGGCTCAGCTCCCAGCCTGGCCTGGTGCCCTGCGCTGGATCCTGGCTGGGTCCCCGTGTTTTGGGTGGCTCAGGCAGCTGTTGAGGGAGGGGTTGTCACTCAGCCCCGGCCCCATGGGTCAGCTCTCACCTTCTGTGCCCTGGAACGTGGAGCACAAGCCCTGGGCCAAGGCTCTGCCCGCCCGCGGGGCTCAGCCGCTGTTGGTGGCCCGGGCTGGCAGCTCACTTGCCCTGGCAGCAGCAGCTGCCCGCCCTTGCCAGCAGACGTTCTGGAGCTGGGCACCCAGAGCTCTGCCACCTGGCACTGACCTGCCCAGCCCTTGGCTTCCAAGGAAAACACCAGCCCAGGGCTGGAGCTGCCCACCTGCAGGGACACTGCACAGCTGAGCCTCTCACGGCCTCTTGAGACTCTTGGTTGTGAGGAGGAGCAGAGTCCACCTCCCCATGAGAGGAGCACTGAGGCCAGGAACAGGATACACGTGTGCACATTCCATCGGGTCTGCATGGATGCAAGAAGGGCACAGTCACACACACGGTGGGAACAGGCTCCCACAGCCCAGCAGTCCCCTCTGCAGGTACCGCTGTCCCCTGCACCCTCAGCCGGGCACGGGCTGGGCTGGGCTGGGCTGGTGTGTCCGGCTGGCCAAGGCCTCGTTCTGCTGTTAGGAAAGGCCCTGTCAGGGACAGGGATCAGGAGCAAGGGGAGGTCCAGCCCTTCAGCTTCTAGCCCTGTCCTGGGGCACTGCAGCCAGGAGCAGCACCATGGCAGCAGCCGGTGGCGTTGGGAATCCCAAGTGAGCTGATGCTTCCCAGCATGTGAGGCTGCAGGGCTGCCTCTCCCTGCCCCCCTGGGCTGTTGTCCCCTCTGCCCCCCAGAGTGGTCCCCCCTTCCCACACCAGCAGTTTGGGCTCCCGGGCAGGCACCGACTCAGCCTCTGGAGCTCGGAGCGCTGCTGCTCCACTGGTGCCCATCCAGGACAGTCAGCAGTGCATGGCTGGCACCAACACATGGGAGTTATTTATAGAGCAGGAATATTCTGGACTCACTCCTAAGAATCCCAGTGCAGATGCTGGAATTGCTGCATCAGCTTTCCCTGGCAATGCAAAGCTGGGAGACATTGAGACACTTGCAGGGAAAGGAAATTCCCCACTCTGGCTCCCTTTGGCGTTTCCCTCGGAATGGGTACGGCTCTCTCCATGATTTCAGCATCCCCTTTGCTTTATCCCCCTAAACACACTTCCATAAAGGACTGAAGGTTTCACCTCCAGTAGCAGCTCAGGCTTGAGGAACCCGGCCTGGGAACACACTGACAGAACAAAAGCTCTTCAGCAAAAGTGAATTTATTTCCTACAGACGACTCCAGCCAGTACAGTCAGTTTTGCTTTAACATCAACACAGCCTGGGTTAAACTGAACAAACCCCAGTGCAGTGACTGCTATGAAGTTGTGCTTGTTCTGCCCCAAAACACTCACCCCGGCAGCGCTTCTGGTCATTGCAGTGATCACACGCTCACCCACCTTCTGCTGAGCCTTCCGCAGTCGCTTCTGTCACATCATCCAGTGGCAATTTATATGATGCCATCACCCCTTCTGCCCACCAGCATTCCCAGCACAGGAAGAACAGAGCCCTGGCAGTACCAGGCTGTCCAGGCACAGACAGCTCAGTGACTTTACCCCACGATGTCCCAAGGGTGGATCCTCCTCCTCCTCGAGCACACGGTGAATCAGCCACTCCTGTTCCTACAGACTGAGCTGCAGGAAGCACCGGTGCTGGGAGCTGCCCAAAGGCAGAGGGGAACAAAGAAGTCTAAAAGCCGACAATCAAATTTCAAACCAAACTAGTGAAAGACTAACTTCAAGAAAACCCAAGTTTCAGAACTTTGCGCTACCTCTTCCAAATTTAAATTCATTAAAAACAACGCTCATTATTGCAGCTGCTGCACAGCTCTGCAGGACAATCCTGTGTGCCTGTCGTAGTTTGATTAAGCTTAAATACTTTAAAACAGAGGTTCCTTTGTTCCCAAGAGCATGCCCAAATATCCGAACACATTCACTACATTCATGGTTTCACACAGCAATAATTGGTAATTTAGTGGAACCTGGTGCATATCTCCTTTCCCAAACATAGATTCTAAAATCTCAAGTTCATAAATATTTGTATTTTAAATATCTAATTTGACATGAATATTGGGTATTCTTAGCCTTTTTTCCTCCTGTTTCCAGGTTTTAGTTCGATAAGGAAACTGTAATACATTACAATGTGATCTGACACCAGTCTCACACCCCATCACGCCACAGTCTCTAAGAACCATTATTTAAAAACTTATTTCCAAAAGCAAAACTAAAAAGTTATCGGGAGAGTTGGACACCAGGGTTCACCCGCAGGAGATAAATAATATCTTGGCTGTTAATGAATTAGTGTGATTATTTTTTTAAGTTAACATTCACCAGTTTGGCTTTACAACAATCTGACCCTGCCTGTTAACAGCTTAACCTGAGAGCCCTTAAGGCAAATCCCACTTCTCGTCAAGATACAGTTTTAAATACGAACCTTAGCAGTTGAAACTTTGAAGCAACCAAAAGGAATCAGAGATTAGGAGGCGCTGGCGTCCCCTCTCTCGTACACCCCGCGCAGCAGGTCTGTGCAGGGCGCGGGGGCTCCCTCTGTGCCCACCTCCCTCAGCCCCCGCGGGGCCGGGGCCGCGCCTGCCGCGCTTTCCAGTCGCTTCTCCTCAGGCGGTGCCAGCTCCTGGGGGACTCTGTCCCGGGCCCGTTTTCCAGCGGAGGGTTTGGGCAGGGTCATCTGGAAGGCGCACCACAGCACGGTCCGGACCTTGCGCGTGGCCTGGCACAGCGCTCGGAGTGCCACGGCCAGAGCCAGCACCACTGCGGGGGAAACGGCCCTTTAGTGCTGCCACCCTGCTGGGGCTCCCTCAGCCCACACCTCGGGCCCTCCGAGCTCTGACCTTGCCTGGCTCTGTACAGGTGTGTAAGACTGCACCTGAATTTCTGTGGTTTGAGTGCTGAGGGTGCTGCAGCCCCTCCCGCTGCCCTGCACACCAGGGCTGGGGTGCTCTGTGCACACACACACTCGGGGCACAGGCGGGTCCTCCACCTGCCCTGCCAAGAAATCTCTGTGACAGGGGAAGGAGCAGCTTGTTTGGAGCACTGGGTGAAGCAGACAGGTCACGTTCTGTAAATGGGTGTTGTATCCCAGTGCTGTAAAGGGCCACGTGGGCAGTGGTCCCGTTATTCTGGCCCAGGTTGCCCAGAGAAGCTGTGGCTGTCTCAGCCCTGCAAGTGTCCAAGGCCAGGTTGGACGGGGCTTGGAGCAACCTGGTCAAGTGGAAGGTGTCCCTGCCCATGGCAGGGGGTGGAATGGGATGGGATTTAAGATCCCTTCCCACCCAAACCATCCTGTAATTCCATGATAGATGGAAGAGAAAGGTGCTGTGGGAACAGGGCTGGGCCAGGGAAGACCTGCTCCCAAACAAATCAAAACCATTAACAAGAAAGCTCTGCCAAAGTTCCCTCGAGGCTTTCCCAGACACACAGCAAATACAGTTACTGCATTCAATAATTTACTGTTTGAAAAATCCTCTCCAACTGCTGCCCCAGGCTCCCTCTCCTCCCTACTCCAACTCTTTCCCATACTATCCTGTTCCAAAGAGCTCACAGATCTGGTAGTGCCAGGTAAAGCCAGAGTCAATTATTTTCAAGGGCTTCAACACCCAAAAAAACCACCTTTCACCTTAACAAGTTCCATAATCTTCAGTCAAGGTAAACAGAAACAAGAATGATGGTGAACAGCTGAAAAAAAACTGCTGTGATTTATCTTTTGAGGTAAACTTGGGAATGACAGAACTGCATGGTGGGACACTCCAAAGAAGTAAAATAATCCCTGTAGTTCAGACGTGGAAAGGAAGGCAGAAGAGATCAGAGGACTCAAAAATGTCAGACAGCTTCTGACACAAGGCAGGAGGTCAGGGAGCAGGAATTTATCCTGACTCCCACCTACAGGACAAGGGAACCTGCCACTCTGCCTGTGCACTAGTGAGAGATTAGGCTGAGTATTTGGCTTATTTTGGATACCATTAAGAATGAAAACATTCTGACCAATGTATTTTTGTGTATCCGTCCAAAATATGATTTATATTTATGCCAGTCTATGACAGAACAAACTTGAAGAGGAAATCCATCTGTAACCCAAGGCCATCTCTGTCTCTTTGGGCAGATTCAGCATGGAAATACTAGGGAAGTTCTACACAAAGGCAGAGCTGAAGGGTTGCTGGGAACAGGAATATGAGGGACAGGGAGAAAAAAGAGGCAATAGCTTAATATCATCTCCAAACCCGGAGTGTGTTACCAAAAAAACCCACTAATTTCTACTCCTTGCTAGTTCATTAACTGAATAAACACACTCTAAAGTGATTTAACCCATTTATCTCTAAACCCCAGTTTCAGTGTCCCCTCAAATCCTCATCCAAACCCCACCCAGTCTGCCTTTGGCAAAGCTCCAACACTGAAAAATAAACTAAAACTTGAATACAATCCCCCTCCCTTATTTTTTACAGCCTTGCACCATGTGCACAACTTCCCAGGTACCTTCCAAACGCACACCAGCCCAGCTCACCTCTCTCGTCCTGGCAGCGGGGCGGGCCGTGCCGCTGCCGGTTGGAAGGGTTCACAATCTCATCCTTTCTCCGGGCCTGCACCACATGGATGGACTCCAGGTGTTTGTCCAGAGCAGTGGAGATGTTGGCATGGAGGGGGGAACTGCGAAGA